CTGTCTCTTTTACATCTTTAAAACACTCTTCTGTCCCCTCTCGACTTTTTTTCACTTTGATGTTCCTCCTCCACTCTGTTAATCCTGAAGTCAACTAAAACTTTGTTGCTTTCAATAGTTATCTCTCTATCCCTTGACTGGTTGTTGTTTTCTTTTGCTTTCAGGTGGGGTAATCATGTACGGCGCTCTGCTTCTCTTCGACCAGGACTTCATCCACGTGGTGTCCATAACCTTCACCTCAGTGCTACTCACTGAACTCCTCATGGTTGCTCTCACTATTCACACTTGGCATTTCGTGATGGTTCTGGCGGAACTTGCCAGTCTGGTCATCTATATCATCGCTTTGGCAGTCTTCAAGTCATTCTTCGGTAAGTATACCAGCAGCAGCAGCAGCAGCAGCAGCAACCCTCTTTTTTATACCCCGCTTTTCAATCTAGTTTTCTAGTTCTCTTTGTGTAATCCTTTCTTTGTTATCCTCCCGTCCACTGCCAATGCATACATTGCTCCGAAAGTTTGTGTTAAGTATTACTTAAATTGAGGTCATCCAGCCTCCATATGAAAGTTCTGTGAAGGGGGTGGGGGGGGGGGGGGGGGGGGGGGTACCTGAATGTAGGCTACATCGGAGGGTCTCCAGCAATGCTTTCCTCTGCCTAAGAGGTAAAGTGGGGAATGTACTGGTTGGGCCGACCCAGTAATTTTTAGCGGGCTCATTAAAAATTGCATTTTTGTAACGAAAAGGCGTTTTATTTGTGATGCAGTACAATTTTACCTCCGAATAAAGAGCCTTAGACATCGCTAATGCGGGTATATTCGTGTGCACATTTGCTCGTGAAATTGTTGAGAGGTGAATAGAGGTAGCTACAGTCAAAACGCAGAGAATTTCAGTGGTCTTCTTTTTGTGCATTACTTTATTCCAATTGCCATATTTCTTTTACAGATCAAGCCTTCCTTCTGACATTGAACTTTGTGTGGAAGGTATTCGCCATCACGGGAGTGAGCTGTATTCCATTAGTCGTCTTGAAGTGCATTCGAATGAAACTTCGACCACCAATCTACTCCAAGCTTCGATGAGTCATTATCAGTTATTCCTTCTTCTGTCAAATATCCGGGCTTTCATTCTTCTTCTTCTCTATCACACGTCATCTCTCCTCACATTCTTTGTTCCCTCCCTTTCGAGATTAAGAAACCTGGCTTCTGTTACACTTGCGGTCTCCTCTTCCTCCTTCACATTTTGACTATTTAATAATCGAGCGTTTTACTATAATGCTATTACTGATATCTTTATGAGTAGTACAACCGAGTTATTGACTCCTCTCTCGTTGTCTGTCTGCCGCCTATGCTACCGATGGCTTAGTCTTTTTTTGTCGTTTTAACTTATTGATATGCGGTCTGCTTGTTTATTGTTTATGAGATTTATTCAACTGCGGCGTCTGGAATTTGACTCATGTCGAATGGGTTTCGGTTGGCCTTTCGAATGTTTTTTTCTTCGGTGTTGCTTAAAGCGACAAGATAATCTCTAATGAAAGATAAGGGGGGAGGGCCTGAACTAATTCACAGTTTTGGAATGTGATGCAATGCTCCATGTCAGGCCTTCCTGCTGTTAACTATGCTGCTGAAAATAGTAGGCTGATGATGCTATGCTTCAAGTCGGGTAAACTCTAGCAAATGGATGATGTTGCAGCTGAATTGGCTTCTTTTTCCTCCAGTTGCTCTTTTAGAGTTTGTCGCCTTTCAATTTCACACCAGCAGGTTAGGGTTGGTACTATTTGTAACAGAAGTAAGATCGCACAAAATCGTATGCATTCGAGAATCCAGCGCGAATATGGGCCTGCACTTCGGTGTCTGATACAGGTAATAACGACACTCACAGCTTCTCGAGAATGTGCTTTCTTTTATTAAGGAATCATGTGCAGTTTCGCGCTACTTGTAAGGGTCAGCACTGCTCAAACAACATGTTTGCCATTTTGCACATTGCTGTTGCCTATGTATTGCACGTTAGCTGGTATGGGTAGAATTGCGGTTAATGTAATTCTATCTGACGATTTCAAGGTAATTAGTTTGTTGGCAGTGAAGAAAGAATCACCTTATTTTTACCTCCACTTTCTCCTTAACATTTATTTATTTATATCAAATGGCAGGCGTTTTGATAGTTATCATTAACCCTGGAGCTGACTTCGGGGCTTCACGGAGAGGAGAAGGAACATTAAAGTGACAAAAAGTCGGGATGAGAGACAGAATAATGATTCTCAGAGGTAAAAGAGACAGACAGACGGACACAAAGGCATAAAAAAGGTAAGATGAGTACTGTGAAAGGGGTCGAATATGACATTCAGTCAGGTGGTTGTAGTTTGAAGTCAGAAGTCAACTGCCGGTTAATAGACCTTTTTGTCGTATGAGTATAAGTTGCCCGGAGTGCACCACGTGGAGGTAAGTCTAACACGCACCCCAATTCTCCTTAACATTGTTGGTTGTGAAATTATGTTCCTTAACCTGATCAGGTGCGAAAAGAGTTTCAGTGGTAGACCGAAATTTGCATTTTACGAGTTCAGAAATTCAATGATCGATAGCTTTTTTTTATGAAAGAAAAGAGGGAAGAAGATTACAAAGGAACATCAAAGTGAAAAAAGTCAAGAGGGGGGGGGGGAACAGAAGAGTGTTTCAAAGACGTAAGAGACTAACTAGTCGAATATGGCATAGAGTGAGGTGATGGTAGTTTGAAGTGAGAAGTCAACTGCCAGTTAATAGACTTTTTTGCCGTATGAATATACGTTGCCCAGGGTGCACCACGTGGAGGTAAGTCTATCGCACACCCCAATATTCGGGTGTCGATTTGCATTTACATTGTCATGTATTCGGTTGAAGAAGTGTAGTAAATACGTAACTTTATGCATTAGAGCAAAAACAATTGTCTTTCAAATTTTCTAAAAAGATTATTAAATCAAAATATATCAATTGGCATAGTCAATTGCACAAATCACCAGTGGGGCAGAATGTTTTGGACCGAATGGGTTAATGAAAAATAACTAACAACACTAAAACTCAATAATGTGGAGATTTATTAATATTATAATTTAAACCAATGTATGGGAAAAAACGATTTTCAACTGCGCGAATTTAAGTCGAATCAATTAGGACTTAATGTCCATCAAACAATGCAGGGTACTGAATCAAAAATATTTTTGTCAATTTTTAACAAATGGCAGGCGTTTTGATAGTTATCATTAGTCCTTTTGTTGACTTCGGGCTTCACAGAAGGGAGGAGGAACATCAAAGTGAGAAGAATTCAGGAGGGGGAATAGAAGGGTGTTTCAAAGATGTAAAAGAAACAGACACAAAGGCTCAGAAAGGGTAAGATGAGTAGTGGTAGGGGTCGAATATGACATACAGTGGGGGTGATGGTTGTTTGAAGTCAGAAGTCAACTGCCGGTTAATAGACTTGCCGTATGAGTATACGTTGCTCAGGGTGCACCACGCGGAGGTAAGTCTATCGCACACCCCTGAATTAAAAATTATCATGAGGAAGTGCAACATTAAAGCAAATGGCTCGTCTCCTTAATCGCAGTAGTTGGTGAGCGCTACCCTCATTTCTTACTGCAATAAATGCGAAACGGTTTCGTCACTTAAAAACAATTTTTTTATTAATTCAAATGATTATGGCATTAAAGTGCTCTCACGTGACTTTAATTGATTTAATCTCGTAACCAGGACGAGAAGTGTAAATGTGTGAGTGCAACTTTAGCAAAACCCACTAAATCGAGTTAACGTACAACGAAATAAAAATTGAAAGCTAAAAATCAATAAGTTATAACGAAGGGAAAGAGCGAAATCCGACCAATTAAAGCATGTTGATAAAGTTTGTTAATAGGTCAAAATGAACTAAGTATGTGTTTAAAAATTAATGACAGATTCTAGCCCTAATAAACGTTAAATCTTATGCATTTGTGAACTTTATTTATTTCAAATGCCAGACGTTTTGATAGCTATCATTACCGTATAAGTATACACGAAAGCCGAGTGATAGACTTTTTTGCCGTAAGAAAATACGCTGCCCAGGGTGCACCACGTGGAGGTAAGTCTATCGCACACAAACTTCCGGTTAATAGACTTTTTACCGTATAAGTATACATTGCTCAGGGTGCACCACGTGGAGGTAAGTCTATCGCACACCCTGCATTTGTGAAATGAAATGAAATTTTAAATTAATACACAAGACCATACAGCAATTATCATGCCTCTGGGGCGCCCTCAACTCTACTAAAACTGAAGAAAGAAATCACATGTGCACTCAAACAGTCTCGAAGGTGTGATCGTGGTTCTGTTTGCAGTGAGTAGGATGCGTGAATGTGAGCGCAAATACAACTCAGCCGACAAGCAGCCAATAGTCACTGAACTTCAAGCTAATCATTGCGCAAGAGTCCCATTCACCCTGTGCGCCTAATTTTCTCGATATTGCTATGCCAGTGGCACTAATTTCCTTTTAAATTTTATATAAAGAGATGTGCAGATGTGATGACTGTGGTTTAGTCAGGGCTTATTTGCTTAGTAACCGAAATTTTTTCCAACTCCATTTGAAAAGATTAGGGTAGCATAGATTCAAAAAATTGAAGGTAGGTGCAAACAATAACAGACCTGCATTTACTATCAGTTATTAAGGATGTGGATTTGTTGTCAATAACCGGACAACCAGATTGTTGCGTTTTGAACAAAATTGAAAAGATATGCCATGGCCTATGGTATGCTAAAATTACCAACTCTTCATTTTCTCTTTCAGGTTTGTTGATGATATATTCATACAAAACTTAAAAACGTGATCTGCGATCGTAAACCTAACTTAATGCTGTGCCTACATTGATATAATTAAAAGGTATTAAGCTATTTCTCGGACAATTATGTCATTTGTTTCCCTATTAAACCCAAGTCAATTTCTCTCTCCTACCTGGTTTAAATATTTCTACCACATAGCCACTACGCCTAAGATATATTATTCGGTAAATGTTCCATGATCAATTACTGTGCTTAATCTTGCAATATTCACTGGAGAACAGTATTTTCATTACAAATGTTAGATTGTACTTAATTTTACTCAGTAGCTGTTATTATTTACTTTTACTGATAATTGACATTTCAGGTCACAATTTTTAGTAAAGGAATACCATTCAAATTGTGATGGAAACCGATTTTTTGAAGAAATTTATTGTTTGCTTGTATTCAAAATTGCCATACATGGGTTCAGTTAAATTACTATAATGCTGAAATATGATTGGTCGTTTTATACGGTCTAATGAAATTGATTATAAGCATTTATGCGTTATTGATCATGATGAAAATTCAACCATGAGCCTCAAAAGAGTTTTAACCAACGACATACAGTCTCCACAGTAGTGTGTTTGCTGCATAAGACTGCTTCGTTAGTCCAGAATAAACAATTTTATAAGTGAACTTTGTCTTCAGGAAAAAAAAAGAAAAAAAGGGTAAATTTAGTCTAGGTAGGTGATATTAAATAGCTTGAAGTGCCACCTATTCCTTCCACAAACGGAAGTCCTTTTAGCCAACCTGGGCTTTCTATGGGCTGTGTTCAGCAAGAGCAATAGTGGTGTCGATACTGACTCTGTTTGAATTTTGTTCTCATGCCTTATTCCAAATAAGATAACTTGACCGCATTGCAAAAGTAACTTCTCCCAGTTTAACCACTGGGAAGCAATCGATTCAGAAACCAAGACCAAATATAAGATCAGCAATAATGCGCGCTCTTCCTTCATAACTTTCGGAAATTAATTGTCATGTTCAAAGAGAAAGCCAGACGGGTAATCTGCTACCGCTATCTCCCATTTTGCTTTCAGCGGAGGTCTTTTGAGAATGGGGATAAAACACTCTGACATGGAGGCTTGCTGATGTGATCACTAGTTCTCTGACTGCAGTATTTTTAGAATTACTGCTCATCCTCATCCCCATTACCATAACAAATTTCAAGCCAAATTCACGCTTCGGTTTCAAATAGTCACCAGAAGTTTGAGAGCCAAGTGGTTTTCTTGTCTTGGTATTGGACACTCCCACTTTCTCCACTTTTTCTTGAGATCAAAGTGACGTCACAGGGGCAATCGTTTTTACATTTAAAGTGACTTTACTTCTTCCACTATGGGTGTGCGATAGACTTACCTCCACGTGGTCCACCCTGAACAACGTTTACTCATACTCTATTAACCGACAGTTGACTTCTGACTTCAAACTGCTATGATTCCACTGAATGTCATATTCCACCACTTTCACAGTACTCACCTCACCTTACCATTTTCTCTGCCTTTGAGTCTGTCTCCTTTACACCTTTGAAACGTTCTTCTGTTTCCCTTCCCCCTCTCGACTTTTTTAATTTGAGTTCCTTCCCCTCTGTGAAGCCTAAAGTCAACTAAACGGCTAATGATAACTATCATAAAGCCTACCATTTGATATAAATAAACATCTTCCGCCAGTAAATGCTGTATGAGAGCTTTAGTGGTGTCCTTTACACTTTAGGTGCACTTTTTTTAAGTCATAACAATCAATAAAGCCAGGTCTTTAATCATACACAGAAAATCCTATTGACACTGTAGCTTTGAGGTGGCCCACGTCATCCGTTAATGCGGTAGTGAAGAAACACGTGAATCAAAGTACTTTTAATTACTTAAATTAGAGTAAGTAGGAGGCCCACGATTTTAGTAGTTAACTGATTACGCAAGAGTTCTTGTAAACTACATCACATTGTAGCAGTAGGAAGAATAGAAGACAAATGTAAAGGCGCCAAAGCTTGAGATAATGATAATGTCCAGTTATCTTCAAAAATGTGACATTAATTGAAAAAAACAAGTTCCTCAATCAATCCCTACTTTGCTTTCAAAGATGAAAAGAAAATGATTAAATTGTTAAGCTTTTCAAGGCAATCATTTTTTTTCACTGCTTTCTGAAAAATTTGCCAACATTACGATTACGTAAAAGTGGCGGAACCAACGATTTGAGAATGATTTTGCGCACTTAACGCAATCATGAAAATCACTCAACCTTACACATTGAATTCCTTCGATATTCGGATTAGCCATTGTTTAACTGACTATGTTAGTAAAATTAGTAAGTACTTTAAACATTATTAAATGTATTGGAGTTAGGTACCATGACAAGTTTAAATGAGGTGGGGAGGGGGGGGGGGTTTGGGGTTTATTCATCCAATCTACATGAATTTTACAACAATCTCTCCACTCTGTATCCAAATAAAAAAAAATAGTCAGATGACAGAAAAATTCGTTTTTAGTTCAAGATTTAGTTTGCAATTTATGAAACGCATGCGATTTGTAATTTTGTGTCAAGATAAAATGAATCAGTTTCATATCGAAAGCGTGATAAATAATGCGAATTAGTGCAAAATTTTGCTCAAATTCTTTCCAAACTGGCTTTCCTTTTAAATTTTGGCTATCTACTGCAATGGCAAACCATGATACGTAACTATGGGTAACAGAGCTCATGCTCTATACAAGTTATGCCACCTATCCTTCATGTCAGTGATCCAGCCCTCATATCAATATCAATAGTATCGTAACTAACGGGGATGCAGATCTTGGATGAAGCATGATAGAGTCCTGAGTCGTAGACTTCATTGCTGAACGTATAAGCAGCTTTAATAGTCTCTTGTATCACTTTGACCTTCGTTTTTTGCATTTTTTTCAACTTCCTCTTCACGTTGTAAGCACAAACCGCCACGTGAACTTAGATAACTGATAAGTTCATGAAGTTTATGCATCCTCATGAAATGAGCTCCAATTCAATCAATCCTAATTACGAAGCGTCAGTTGATAGCGAAGGCTTGGGGCCCTCTTGTATCAATGCGTTTCAAGAGCGATATGTCCGCTTACCAAGAGAAACCTTCCTTTAATTTTCCTACTAACCACTTAAACTCAATCTTTATCATGCTTATACCCGCTATTGTAAATTAGTACTTTCCTACCTCAGAACTTTTGATTTTTGCAAAAAAATTATTCATATCCTGTTTACCGTTATTGTTGTAATAAAATGGAAAATTACATTTGACTTGATGTGGTTCTTTATGTCAAAATTTGCAGTAATTACAGGAGAATCACAACCTACTTTGTGCGATTCACTGTTGAGTCTTGGTAATTTAACAAATCAATTTCCTGAGTACATTCCAATGTTCAAAAGGTGGTAATTGGACAATGACACATCGATTATTGAATAGTGAGCCTAATGCTTTGTCGTCCTTGAATGTTAATAAAAGCACCTTTCCATAATGAGTAGAAGTTACTCTAATTTTTCTTGAGATCAAAGCGAAGCCAGGTGATCGACCTTGTTTCCTTCAATCTTCGAGAATTCATAGTGGTGCCTAATGAGGATGCCTATTTCCATTGGTTGAACTGATAAGACCGGGAGAATTGAAAGATTAACAGAGGCTTTCCATCAGTCTTATTCTCCTTTTGTAGGACCGTAGTATCAATTGGGCTTTTAGCTTTCTTATGCTCTTTCTTCTTGCAAACTCTATTAACGCTATTTACTAATAGAAAAAAAATCGTTGAAATTGCACTAATTCGTCCATCTGATTGAGTGGCACTTTCAAAGATGCAACTTGAATAAAAGAATGAGAAGTGTGCTTTTTAAACACTTTTAGCATCTATGCTTCATTTCTTCTCACAGACAGCCATGATTTGAGGTATTTTGCATTCGTTTAAGAATAGCGAAAATGGTTAATTGGTGATAACTAAACAGGAGGGCTTGTGATTGCCAGTGTAGGTTTTCTCCATTACTGAGCGTGAATTCGGTAAATTTTGAATTTTAAGTGGAGAAAACATGTAATTCCAAGCACGGTTTATAAAGATTAATGTTCGGAAGCCGGGGTGTGCGATGACTTACCTCCACGTGGTGCATCCTGGGTAGCGTATACACATACGGCAGTTGACTTCTGACTTCAAAATACCATGAACCCACTATATGTCATGTTTGATCCCTTTCACAGTATTCACCTCACCTTTTCTCTGCCTTTGTGTCTGTCACCTTTACAACTTTGAAATACTCTTCTGTTCCCCCTCCCCTCTTGACTTTTTTCAATTTGATGTACCTTTCTCTCTGTGAAGTCTGAAGTCAACAAAATTGCTAATGATAACCATCAAGACGCTTGCCATTTGATATAAATAAATATGTTCTGATGTCTTGTCATCATGGAGCTAAAACTTATCTGTCAACTAAACTGCTTCAGTCTTTGAAAGAGAAAGCATGCATTGAAATGGCGAACTCAATCACTATCATTAAACGCACGCGATAAATGTGTACCAAATAAGTGAACAACTATGCATTTTGGATAGTCAAACAAACGAGACTTGTTGGGTGAAATACTACAACACTCGTGTACCTTTCATGGAATACTCGTTGCTGTCCATATTCTCATAAGGCTCCTTGACAGGACATGCCATTTTTTCGTAGTTCGAATCGCATGTTACTCACGTGAGGCAATTATGAAACTTGAGTTCTGGAACTTGGAATGTTGTACAGTTTGAACCCGAAAATCGAATTAAACTTGGACTTAACTCCCAAACACTTTTGTTCGTCTTACCAATAATCTGTTAAACACTTTCAGTGACTTCTACACCCCGTAACAAAATATTTAGAGCATTTAGAGCAAACCCTGTCGTTTTGCTAATTTGACAGGAGATACTTTAACCTGGAGCGAGCTGAAAATGCCTACTTACGAATTTAATATAAGGTAAAACCTTCATGGAAACTAGTTATGGGAAATCAGATATCTGGAAAAGCCTGGCGCCTCTTGTGGATGTATTTTATTTTAATCGCAAGTCAAATTAGTACAGGGAAAATCGCGCAGTAGACAACTTTAAACACAAATTAGGTGTAAAACACATCAGGTACTTCAATTTGGACTTTGGATTATCGGCGATCGATAGAGCAGGCACTTTATTGAGAACCTTCAGATGATTCTGAAGATGATGGTTGTGGGGTTGAGGAAGTTGGTTGTTCAGACTCGCTGCTTTGTTCTTTGTTACCTTCACCTTCTTCGGCAAGATAGTAACAGCTATCGCATCCCCAACTGCAAGCTTGAAGTGTCTCCTCCTCCTTCTTGTCATCCTCCTCTTGGCCTTTCTCTGTGGAGCCTGAGGACATCTCGGTCTCAGTGGTTTGCTTCTCTGTCTCAGCTGGTGTAGTCTCGCTACCGACTGGTGAGGAGTTAACAGAGACGATAGCCCAGATGAAGAGGAAAGTGAGGAAACAGGTAACTCGAGATGACATGTTGTGAAACTCTTGAATGACATCTCATGGACCACCAGCTAAATTTATAGGAGGATATGATCCTTCCATAGCCCCTCCGATTGGCTACTTGGATTTACTCACCTAGTAAAACACAAATACGCCAATGTTTGCTAAATGTATCGAACACATTTAGCTCTGAGGTAAATAATGGAAAGAACAATTCACATATTACTAGTATTACTTTGGCTGCGTACGATATTATTTCAACGAGTGGTAAAGTTACTACGCAAAACTACACGAAACGTGAAATACACACACAAAGAATGGTAAGCCAAATTATGCGACTACCAGCCGTATCGTTGTGGATACCCATTTGAGTAAAAGTTGGAATGATCAGGCTAGAGCTAACCACAGTGTACTTTAAGCAGTTGAATTAATTAACTGACTAACCGGCACACACGCTGTAACAGAGTGCTAACTAAAAAGACTTGAAGCACAGCAATAGTTAATTCCAGTTGACAAACTCTATTATGCGTCTGGAGGTGAAAAGGAGACGTAACAGACTGCTCCAAATTTTTAATTTGAACAAAATATCATGAAATTTTTAATGAAAAAAAGAAATGAATGTCTTTCAACTAATGAGGTTCTATTTAGCCACGGCTGACAAGTATCTCTATTTTAGATGACAAGGTTATAGAAAATACCTAACCTAATTGAAATGCCATAGTAATGAAGTGTTTGATGATGAGAAAGAAATTTCAATTTGGGTGCCTTTTCTATGCTTAAGGGAACACCCCCATAAATGCTGATGTGGTGAAACTTTGGTTTGAATTGTCTGTTTTTTAGATTTTTCTTAAAGTGTTTCGAAGTTTTTTGATAGCAATTAATTTATTGTGAATCCAGTGTAAAGTTGTATTTAACCGAAAGTAGGACATTTTTCTAAACGCATTGGCATGCGTTGGTTCAGTTGGTTACTCTCTTTGTGGCAGTAAGAATTCAAACTGAGCGTTCCTTCTCCCTGGTTCTCGTTTAAACTCTTTTGGTTGATACAACACAATAAGCCTGTACTAAATCTTAGTCAGCAATAGAATTACCGCCACGTGGTGCACCATTGGCAACGTATATTCATAAGTCAAAAAAGTCAATTAATGGGCAGTCGACTTCTGGCTTCAAATTACTATGACCCCACCGTATGCCATATTCTACCTTTGCGTCTGTTTCTTACATCTCTGAATCAGTCTTCTGTTCCCACTCTAATTTTTCTTACTTTGATGTTCCTCCTTCTCTCTGTGAAGCCCGAAGTCAGCTAAATGGCTAATGATAACTATCAAAACGCCTGTCATTTGAAAAAATCTTAGTCATCGTCTAAAATGGAATCTCCTAGGATACAAATACACCTTGAATTGCTGAACCCGTCCATAATAAAGCATATAAGGAGAATGATATTTATAATAACTTGTGAGAACCTAATAAGAAGCTTAGTTATTGTGACACAATTAGGAATATGCTGACAATGCAAAGACTATTGATTGATCTTTGCACCCGCTAAAACATCAGTAGCACAGTCACAACTTCCAGACTGCTCGAGTGTACATACGAATCCTTTGTTCGACATTGGTTGAGTTGTAACTTCCACATCCAATTGTCTTTACTAACATGCACATTAGCCATATCTACACCAACCAAGCAATCATTTTTGTTTAGAGTATATTACAAATCTCCTTCTATTTGCATAATTGACCTCGATAAGAATGGGCTGTATGCTGAATGAGTAGTGAAATCCTATACCCACACGTTTCACGCCACATCCATCGTGAAAAACGTGTTCCTCGTGAATGCATTGTGAATTTATGAAAAAAAAAAGCTTTTGACCTCTATTGCAAGTGTCAGCTTGAATGAAATACTTATTTTATTTATTTATATCAAATGGCAGGCGTTTTGATG